TAGTGCTGGGCGGTATACCGGTTCATACCGAATACCGGTGTTTATTTTTGTTATGATATGAATTTTTCAAATACCACAATAAAAAGAGTATGCCGCTTAAACAATGTTCGGAACGTGACACTGTTTGAAAGAGGTCGTGAGGGAACAGCTGTATGTGTTACTAAGCGTGAAAGTTCCGAAACCGAAGCTGTAGAACTAATAGAACGTGATGACACAGAAGAACTCATCCACAATATCCACATTGACCACCACAAATATCATCAGACGATGCCGCGATTATAAATGAGAGTGACTCCTGGTTAACATTAAAAGGGGTCATGTGTAGTCACTATTTAGTGTGGTATTTTTTGACAATATTCACTCATCATGACAGTAAAATAGGTCATTCTAAGTCAATATACTGCAGTATTTCCTCTCTCAATCAGTAGAAAATATGGTTAACACCCGGTCATGCATGAAAAAAAAATACACCGTCATGTACCGTGAAACCGGTATAATTTTGGAAAATACCGTGATATAAATTTTTGGTCATACCGCCCAGCACTACCTACTATTTATTAAAAGCTTCTTTCTTTTCACCTTCTTATTTACAGCATTATCATAATAGGCTGTATATTACCTTATTGGGAGAAAACTGGTAGTTCTATGTGAAAAGAGACATTGAGCACCCCCTATATAGCCAAAATGGCATGATCCTCATTTCGTAACACCTCTGCGAAAAAACAACTGTGAGATTGGTAGTCGAATCAGACTTATCCTAATGAAGCATCGAATCTTCGACTATTCGGGGTCACCCCTAAATCATACTGTTACTTTTGATCAAACTAATGCATCATTGCTGGATAAAAGTACTAATTTCTTTAAGAAAAGTAGTATACTGACCTCAAACTGTGTGTGTGAGTGTACACTTACTTTTATAATACCCTTTTATAATGAATCCTGTTTTTACCAGAAGAACAATTTGGGAACAGCAGTTATGGTCAGGGAAAGACAGAAGGTGTTTTATACAAGGTTTGACACCATATACATTGGGATGATGACCATGTGGCTTGAGCATTGCACCATCCATCAGAGAAGCTCTCCGACACGGCAAGAGGGAGTCCCATGAGAGTTGAGCAGCTCCTTAGAGACAGCTCAGTTCTTGCTGACAGTGTAAGTAAGCTCAAAGCTTGGCTCAGGGCTTGATATATAACCCCCGACACCCTCTACAACAAAACAGAGCATGAACAATAAAGTCTGGCGTGTGCTTTCTAAGACAGCAAGCGTGCAAATTCATAGTATTTCCTTCTAAAGCAAAGGCGTGACCCACAAGGTCTAAGAATGGTGTTAAAATTATAGCGCCAACCTGCACAATGTCTTTTAAAACAAGGTTTAAAAACAACAGAATGCCATTAGCAAAACTATTCCACGGAGTATGACAGCTACAATACAGAGTTTAGCATTTAAATAGCAGCTCCTGGTAGGAAGAAGTGAGTATCTTGGTAAAAGGCCTGCTGAAGAAACAAACAAATCGTCACGTCTAAAATCTGCATTACAGAGCTCATTAAGGGCTGGCACAGAGCAGTGAGCTGGAGAGGAATGAGGAAAAAAACATGTGTGTCTTACTGATGGAACCTGCGAATGTAACACCTCCACAAGCACAGAACATGAGAGAGACAGTGAGGAAGAGAGAAAGAGAGATACTGTACCCATACGTTTCACTGTAACCGCAAAAGCAATGCCTGTCATATCTAAACCTAATCGATAGTTTAAACCAATTAATAGATTTCATTAAGCTCATTTTAAGAAGATTCAATCAATTAGCAGCTAAAATAAGTTTATAAGACAGGTAATGGAAAAGAGGTCAGCTCCCAGAAAATTATTTTCGGCCTCTTAGCCATTTTCAGCATTGTCAGATAACCGCCATTCATGTTAACCGTCTCCCGTATTCAATCTTCGCTTGTCTCAACAAGACTAATTTAATAATGCAGCCACTTGTGAAAGCTTCTTCTAATGGATTATAAACGTAGGAGGTAATGAAGGATTCACCTTTAGAATGCAGCACATGTAATATGTGACAGAAAGGCTGTTGATTTCAAGTCAACTGCTGTTCTGACATACGAACAGGGCTTGTGGCTTGTCTTTTCTTCTCTTTATTAGATCTGACAAGGTCTTTGTGCTATTTAGTGTGTTGGAAACAAGGCAGAAGATCACTTTTTTTCAGCTTACAAGCAGAACGTGGAACCAGGCCAGAGGGAATTCTGGTAATTGCGTTGCAACCGCAACATTGACCAGAAACGATGAAAATAATTGCTTATCAACAGCTTTCCAAGAACCGAAAAATTACAGAGCGCAATCACAAATTCCCAATGCTTCAGGAACAGGTCACGAAGCAAAAATGACATTCAAATTAATGTGAAGTCAGTCATGTAGAACTTCGGGATCTTTTTAGAGGTCGGCCATCAATCTTCATTCAAATGACTTATTTTTCATATTTAATGACTCTGAGCACCCGTTAAGGCCTGAATCAAATGGAAAGAAAGCTTATCTAGCTGTCTCCGAGGATCTCACCGATTGCATGCTTGCGAGAGGCGCCGTCCCAGGCGATGCTACTGTATGCTGGCTAGGAGGGCCAAATTTTTATAGCATGCTCTCTGGGGAAGAAAGAAGTAGAATTACTATGCCTTAATAACTCCTCATCAAACACAACTACAACTACTTGAGCTTTAATGATCCATGATGGCTCTGTGAGGGCAGGAACCAAAGTGATTAGTCACTCATTAGACAGGGAGAGAGCACACATATACGCTGTTTATCTCTACCTCTTTTTTCCTCTCTCTCTTGTCAAGATCAGAACAGAAGATGACCACACTGCCTCTTCAAAAAAGCCCTTTGGGTAAACTAGGTTTCAAAAGCAAACCTGCCAAAAGAATGAATGTTTCAAGACAAATCAAACGACATTTATCATATTTATATAATATAAATATAATGATTTATATTCTTTAAGGACCATCACACAGTCATCATATGAAATACGTGAGACAAAGTGTGTCGCAATAGTGCCTTTATGCTCGCTTTGAGTATATTTACTGCACTAAACACTATGAATTTTTATTTGGTTCAAGCAGAACGAAATCAGTCAGAGCAACAGAAACCATTCAATTACGCTGAAAACACTGGGCGTGCAATACGATAATGAATCTTTCGGAGGATTTGGAGTCAGTTTAGAAAATTGAAAATATTATTTTACTTTTTTTCTTTCGTGGAAAACAAAAGGAGGCGTGCGGCGGAATGACAGCCTCCAGTTAACGTTACTACTGTTCATTTTATTTGTATGGAAAACAGATGCAATGAAAGTGAACGGTGACCGGTGACTGTCATTCTGGCGAACATTCCTATTTGTGTTACTGTGTAAATAAAGCCATAAAGGTTTGGAACAACATTAGTAGGTTGAACGAATTTTTTTTTTTTTTTAGTGAAGTAACATTATCCCTTTAGGTCACATGTTTGATATTACAAAATAATACACCTATTAGGTTTCCTCAAACCAATGAGTGTAAAAGAAAAAAACTATACGGTCACTTTTTGTCATCTGTAAAAATGAGCGTAAACACAAATATGCTGTACAAATATTATGCAGAGCAAATTATATGAAACTGCTCTCAGAAGTTGGACTAAAACGTAAAAGCTTAATATGACAGGATAAAATAGTAAATAAAAACTTTCTTTTCTTTAACTTCGCCTCAGTTTTCCGTTCTATTTAAATTAAACAACGACAAACATACGAACTGTCATTTACCTCAGATATGAGACCGTTGACCCCTCCTCAAACACGAACTGAGCTGTCATTGCGCTTTACAGAGCCTCGGAATCCGGTAACGGGCTCACATTTCAGACTACAGCTCCGAAATGAACTCCGCTCACGACAGAAATGTAAAGTACATCCACTGAGAACCCGTTACGGAGTGTTCGAGCCGTTCCGCGAGACCCCCGCGAACTCAACTCAGCATCACGCGGCGAGAGCACGCAGATCGATGAAACTTTCAACGGCGCGCGCGTCTTCCTGTAGTCCTTTATCTTTAATTATTTATTAATCTTGTGTCTGCCAGTTTACATGGTTTACTTAATATTTAAATGTTTGCGAACAAAACCTCTGTGGTGTCACGTGCCATCGGTAGCGTCTTCTTTATTGTTCTACAGACATAACGGGCTCCGTAATACATCCGTACACAAATCCCTGGTAATCACAAATGGCCTACAATTCCCAGGAAGTACGTCATGGCATGCGCCTGTTTGGGGTCTGCGATTCGCGGGCTCCGTCTGCAGGATTCAAACACACGGTTCATAATTCAGATTTGACCTAATCACAGACCTCTTTCAAATACAGTACCAGTAGTAAATGCATATATATTTAATGTTCTTTTAACGTTCTTAAAGAAACAGTTCATCCAGAAATGAATATTCTGACCAATGTTGCAAGACTGGTCATGTTAGGAACTGTTCATTTTCAATGCATATGTACACAATGAAAGTGAATGGTGACTAATAAATAAATGATGACAGAATTTGCATTGCCGTGAATGAATCAGATTACAGTTGGATCCTTCTCAGTGTGGAGAGCCGAATGTAATCAGCATAATGTTTGCTTTGAAAGACATATATTAGATTTACAGTTTTGTCAATATTTTCACTCCGAAAGCAGCAGCATGCAGGTCACGAATGAAAACAGAATTTCCTTCAAGGATTCATCTTCACTGAACCAAGCTCCTGCAAAGCTGATTTTGTTTGTCCCTCCATCATTTTTATTTTATTGCCAAAGTATCACAAAAAAAGGCAGCACGGGTTCACATCTTACGCCTGCAGCTTCCTCAGATAATAAAAAATGAATGCTTTATTTACATCACACTTTCATTCTTGTTTAGGACTGAAGGGATGGATTTAAGGGGGAATACATTGTTTCATAAATAACTGTTCATAAATTATTTATACTCCATGGTGGAGTTTGTTTTATTGCTTTTCATTTATGCTAACTGTAACAGTAATAGAAATAGTATCTATACTGCAATAATGAGAATCACCATAAGAAATATAAAATCACTTTATTAATGCATTGACTTAACTAACAATGAGCAGTACATTTGTTACAATATTTATTAATCTTTGATAACGTTGATTTATTAAAATACTACAACTGATATGTGTTTGCTCATGTCCAAATAATGTAGGCTAAACACATTTTAATACTGTATTCAGTAATGTTTTTGTAAATGTTGAAATTAATTTTAACCCAGATGAATAAATGCTTTAGAAGTATTTTAATGGTTAGTTTATGTTAACTAATGTACAGTAGTGGAAACTTAATGTAATGTGTTAAACATCAGACACTAAAGTAATGAAAAACATACATATATATATATATATATATATATATATATACATATATATATAT